CCTGCTTCTCCCTCTCCCGCTCCCCCTGCTTGTGTTCCCTCTCTCACTGTGTCTCTCTCTGTCAAAAAAATAAATAAAATCTTTAAAAAAGAAAAAAAAAGAAAAGAAAAGGAAGGCAATACCCAGAGTGCTTAAGAGGTGGAGCTCAGGAGTCAGATCTGGGACTGACCCCTGGGCCTGTCATTTACTATTTGTGTAAATGATTCAATTTCTCCTGGACCTCACTTTGCTTATCTGTAAAATTAGAATGCTTTTACATGGCTGTTGTGGAGATTGAGAAAGTTTATAGTACAGTGCCAAGGTATGTATTAACCAGTGCATATTAAGTTGAACCCTATGAAATTGCCCCTATTTGACTATTTTTGTCCTGCACAAACAGCAATTTCATAGGGTTCAATTTAATAGCAGTTATCCAACCCCCATTAGTTGTCATAACGTCCAGAGATGGATTACCTTGAAGATAGTGCACTCCCTTGTCATTGAAGATATGCACGCTGAGGACTTGGCAAAGAGGTTTCAAACACCAGCATTAGGAAGATGAGTCTGGGGCTAGCAAGTCAGTAGGGAAGCTGTTGCAATCCTCCCAGAGGAAAGGAACGAGTCTAGGATGGGGGTTGAGAGAGTAAAAAGAAGGGAGTGGGCATAGAAGCAAGAAGAAGAGTGTAGAAGACATCCTGACTGACTAGGAAAGAGAGACACGGGAAAGAGTGGGGTAGGTCAGGGTAATTCGTGTGCTATTGGGGCCCTGTAAGAAATTCGGCACTGAGTGGCCCCCTTCAGCACATGTCACTGGTGTCCAGTGTTGACTTAGTCTCCATTTCCTGGTTGAAGGCCTTTCCTCTCCTGGCTTGCCAAACCCCATGTCCTAGGTGAAGCCACAAAAGAGAAGGCAGTTCCTTGGCTCCATCCTTATAATTGCTGAAACAGTCTGGTTGGTTTCCACCCTCGTTTATACTTACCTTGGCTCACTCCCTTGTTTCACTTGTACTTACCCTTGACCTACAGTTGTTATCAGTTCCTAACTGTCCAGTCATCTGCTGACTAAATAACATTATTCAACTACTTGGGTTACCTGTTGATCTGTCTCCGAAACTTGGCTAGTCTGTGATGTTCTCCTTGTTTGACTTTGAGGGTCTAATATGGGTCAATGGATGAGCCTGGTAGAAGTTTGTCCTAAGTGCATTTTAAACTTCTGTGCATTTTCCTAGAGCTCAGATTCTGAAAGGGATCTGTAACTCAAAAATACTTAGGAACTCTGGGGAATCCTGAAAAGAGAGGTAAAATTAAGTCCTAAATACCTGCCCTGTGACCACAGCAGTAGAAAGGCAATAGGCAGGAGAATACACCTGGGCTTTGGATCCAGAATGGGTTGAGTTTGAATCCTCATCCTATCATTCACAAACTTTGACATTTGGCAGATTACTTAATCTCTGGTCCCAATATTCTCATTTGCAGTTTGTGGATAACAATGATACCTGCAGAGCTGTTGTGAGGATTGGAGGCGGTGATCCTACTGGTTAATGGCCAGTTCCCAATAAATGTAACCTTTAATAATGACAATGTAAGTGGAGTATGAGGCAGTGGTTTTTGTAGAAAGCAGAAGTAATGCAAATATACCTATTTTCCTATTCTTTTTTTTAAAACAAAAACTCTTATTTTTCTCTTTATAAAGTTATACATCTTGGTGTTATAGGAAATTGAGAAAATACAGGCAAATAAAAAGAAGAGAACGGTTACCACCCAGAGAGACATTTTGATGTACATCCTTCTTTTCTAATCATAAGTTTTATAACAGAACTGTGATGATATAATATGCATTTTGTTTGTTTAATAATATACGTAAACATCTTTCTGTGGCATTAAATATTCTTCTTTAATGACCTCCTTGACTTCCACTGAGTGGCTGAATCGTAACTTGTTTAACATATTTCTAGCTGTTGGTTATTTAGGTTGTTCCTAATTTTTTGGTACTCTCAATGAATATTTGTGTAGTGAAATCTTTGCATACTTACTTGGTTATTTTCTTACCCTGTTATTAAAAAACTTGCCCCAAAAGACAGAACGATTTCACTACTAATCTTTGAAGATGTTGCCTTGGCTATCCCAAAATACAAGAGTTTAAGTAATGAAATAATGGGAAAGTCAATATTTTTTTTTAAAGATTTTATTTATTTATTTGAGAGAGAGAGAATGAGAGAGAGCACATGAGAGCGGGGAGGGTCAGAGGGAGAAGCAGACTCCCTGCCAAGCAGGGAGCCCGATGCGGGACTCAATCCAGGGACTCCAGGATCATGACCTGAGCCAAAGGCAGTCGCTTAACCAACTGAGCCACCCAGGCGTCCCTGGGAAAGTCAATATTTTAATGCTAAGATCATGTTCTATTTTGAATGACTGTCTCCCATAGCACCTGGCACATACTCATGAAGGAACAAATCTGGGAATCTGGAGCTTGTAATTGCTGGGACAAGTCAAATAACAGATCACTTTCTGTACCTAAATATTTGTAGAAAAAGTGACTTGTGTTCCTTCACCCTGGTTAAGAGTCACATGCTTTTTCTTTCTCCAAATTAAATGTTCTATGTTCCAAGCCTCCATCCCACAGTGCTGGCAAGATAATTGAGACTCGTGCCCCACCCCAGGTTCATGTGAAGGCCTGTTGGTGTAACTCAGTGCAGCCGGGGAACAGCCCTCTGGCCTTTTGTTCACACTGATACCATAAATGTGCCCCTCATTCAGGTTGGTATGGCCCGGGAAAGGCCAACCGTTCTGCTCTTCACAGGGGTTCAGAGGTCCTCCAGCCTCCCAGGGCAACCCATATGGTTGCCTGCCCAGGGCAGAGAGAGGCCCAGATCCTCGCCACTCAAACGTCCTGCAAAGCCTAGCCCATGGCTCAACCTTGGGGAGGTTTTCAAAAATCTTCTTTCCTCCTGACTATTTGGCTCTCCATTCTTTCCTCATCTGGGACAGTTCAGCATAATTTCCCTCAAAGGCCCAAAGTGGAAGGGGATCTCTTCTTGAGCCTGAGAATGGTTACTTCCAGTCCTGCCACACAGTGGCCCTGAGGGGTGAGTGATCAAAAGACCAAGCCCCTTCTAAGGAGTGGGGATAGGGGGCAGAGGGAAAACATCTATAAAATTTCAAAGGATCCTTTGTAATATTAAAAGAATGGAAACAACATAAATGTCCCCCAGTGCTTACATAAATGACAGTGCACCCAAACGTTGGAATACTATTCAGTTGCTGTGACCAAAGATGACCACAATATTTCCCATCCCACAGGTCCTTCTTACAATGTAACTTTGACATCTCTGCCATGGAGATTTGGGGTCTATTGCCCTCCCCTTGAAATCAGTCAGGCTTTTTCTCTTTCTTTTCTTTTTTCTTTCTTTCTTTTTCTTCCTTCCTTCCTTCCTTCCTTCCTT